AAATGACACAGAGGCACACATGGGATACTACCTGTCGTGAAGATGCACAAAACACATTCATGGTGCAGTAAATTAAAGCCCACTCCTTAACAATGTCCTCCTCTCCTGCAGCCACCCCTTCACCATCATCGCCCCTGCACTACTGACCTAAAAGTGAACTCTAGTGGAGAGCTGGAGGTCAAACAGGACATAACTGTCCAAGTGACCAACATTCACCTCCCATAATTTAGCGAAGGCCTAACAGCCGTAGCTACGGAATCACATGTCTCAAAAAACCTCCCCACTTCCATCTCTACAGGTCATAATTACTCAGTCTAGCCAATCTAGCAGGAAGCCATACGTTATGTGAATCGTCCAGTGTCTCTCATCATCTCCTAACGTGCACACCCGTCACATACATCTGTCCGCAAAGCACTCCCGGCATTAAACCCCATATGCACAGCTCTCACACATGTGCTCACACACAAAACAGTTATCTATCATCAGTGTTTGTGTATATTTGAGATCTGTATCGGTTCCCCCCGATCTCCAGTCATCACTGTGGCTCCTTAATTACACCCTTCATTAACTCACAACAGCCCGGTGCATGTGTGTAACTGCCTGTGTGTGTGGAAGAGGGGGAGAAACAAAGATTCTCAGAATGAGTGTGTGCATGCGAGAGAGGAAAAAGGGAAGCACTGAGGAAAAAATAGAACGTGACAAATGGGAGTGGGGATCGAAGCTCCAAACCAATTTTGAAAACTGCCTTTTTCTCAACCAATGTTCCTTTTAAACCCTTTGGGAAGGGAAACCGCCACTACAATCTGCCTCTCACTTTCTATTTGCACGTAAGAGTGAGTTAAGTGCAAGAGAGAGAAAAATACAGAGAGAAAGAGGAAGAGGAAAAAACCCTCGGTGGTTGGTTTAGCCAACTGACGAGTGGCACTCCTAAGAGGAAATGGCACCTTTTTGTCACCATTGCTTTCTCTTTAGTCTCCCTCCTACTTTTCCCTATGCTACTCTTGCCGTCATCGCCAGCCGCCACTGCCGTAGCTGCTGGAAACACCAGAAGCAATTAATTGATGGCGAGAGAAAAGGAGGAGACAGAAATGGGTGAGAACGGAGGAGAGAAGAGGGGGAGTGACGAGGCCTGAAAGTGTGGACTCACATCTGCAAAAAAAAAGGGGGGAGCTGAGAGACGTAAAGAACAGGCAAGAACTAAAGACACCTGGTTCTCGTCAGAGCACCCTCCACCCAGTCACACACACACACACACACACACACACACACACACACACACACACACACACACACACA